ACCCCTCCTGGAACCCCTCAACCGAGAAATGTTCATGCTCTGCTGAAGAGAAGTAACTGGACAGGAAATAGCGTAGGAAGGAGGCAAATGAGGCAGCTCACAGTACAGAGAAAGAAGCAATCAAGAGGGTGGTAGCAAGAGAAAGTCAACTGAAGGAAAAAAATGGAAAAAGGAAGATGCAAAGTAAAATTTGTGATTCACAAGGTCTCTGGTGATTGGTCATAGTCAAGCAGAGCTTTTATAAAAACAAGTGCATGCATTTGGAAGCATCAGATTTGGAGAACACTTTCCTCATGGGTAGCAACAGTAGATTTCTCAATTTTGCGGAATAAAAGTCACTCACTTTGGGAATTCTAACTTGAAAACTCTCCTGAGGATGTAGGGACAGTTCATGTATGATCTTTGAATGACTTCCATGCTTTTCTTCACCCTTGAGCCTGTCTCAGTATAGAGGTGCTGGTTATTAAACACTAGTCTCTTGGAGGGGGGATTGTAAAACAGCAGAAAATCAGTCGTTCCCGAAATTTCTTCAACAAGCAGGTTGAAATGACTGTGAGCAAGTGACAGGGGTTTTGTTAAGCCGCAGCTCCACCGTGTGTGGAAGTGGAACATTGCAGCACATGGGAAGAGGCTCCTGGAAGCAAGGGGTGCTTGGGCAGATGCCTGGGCTGCTCCGCACCTGGTGAGCAACCCACGGGGTTGGTGTCCTTGACGTCCAACCTGCATGTACAACATACCCCTACGTGTGTGTTTTCAGCGTAATGTTAACTATCAGTGCTTTCAAGTAAACATTTGATTTATTTAACGTTAAGCATTAGCATTATTAGCCTTTTAACAGAAAGTAAATTCACAATAAACAAGGAAAGTTCATTAGATAAGTTCATGAAATCAGGTGAACTATGGAAAATGTTTGAGGTCCACACAGGATAACTAAGGATTTAATAACATGCAGTGAAGCCACTTCAGATGGACAATGAGCTATTTAGTCTTGCTTAGAAACAGTGTTCGTCTCCCTGAATATTCATAGTGACTTAATAGCTAACTCAAGACTGCTCCATGCAGATAGGAAGCCAGTCCTTTCTCAAGAGGGAACACATCCTTGAAGTGGCCTGCTAATTACCTCACTAAAGAAAGGCAGTTGCTTTTGCATGGGAAATATTTGAAAAGATGCCCTGGGTGGTAATTTGCAGAGCTTTACATTCTTCTCAGTGTTTGGGTTGGTTGAGTCTTTGTGGCATTCAAAACATTCCCATGTAGCCTGGGAATGTTTTTCCTGCAACATTTAGGTCACTAAAAAGAAATTAATACAGTAATTAAGATGATCTAGTTTCTGTTGCAGAGGTGAGTTTTAGTGGTGTCTGAAGGGTCTTTAGATATTTCTTATGAGTTGCTATTGGTGCTTTCTTCCCATTGCTGTGTCTTCATTTTTCATCTCCTGCAAGAGAGGAGAATTTCCTAAATTTACAGATTTAGGAAATTTTGAGACAATCAGAGATGCCAGGTAAAGCTGTTTATGAAGCTGATTAGTAAAGTTGCTGTGTACTGAGAGCTTTTAAGCTGCCCCATATAATCAGCAGAGTGAGCTATCTCTTGAAAGTAATAGAAAACACTGAAAGTTTTGCTTCTGCTCTATACTACATTTTTACGTCTGTCTTTCCAGTGAAGAGATTTCTGTTGGTGAAATCTATTTTTGTGAATAAAGTCTCCTCTCTGTGTGTGATAGTAGAGGAAAAAAATACATTTTTTTTTACTGTGTAAATTAGTTTTAAAGGAATACTGCTGCCTGGATATGAACAAATCACATATTGCCAAATAAAAATACTTGGTACACATTTCTGAGTCCTAACATTGGCCTTACACAGACGCATCCCTTGTAGTGGCAGCCTTTCTTTGAGTTCTCTGAGAGTTTATTCTGTATTCCTGTAGCTTATTTCTATACCAAGTTACTGCCTTTCAACAGACAACAAGACTTTTTCAGGGTCTTTTCTGTTACAGGAAGGGATAACGTGCTGTCTTCCTTTTGGCTTCTGCAATATGGAATTACACTAAATGGTAATCATCTCAGGGAAAAAAAGGCAAAAGTCTGCCTCTGTAAAAATGAGAATGGACAGAAAGAAGTAGGTTTTAGGATGGAAAGAATTAATTCCAGTTTAAGTGGTGAGGAATGCTCAAGCAAATGGACATGTCTGGGGTCTTTTTTTTTGTTTTAAGTTTTGCCCGTTAGAAGTTGGTAGAAAACTGTAATGATGTAGTTAATACAGAACAAATACATTTTATATACTTTGCTGTCTAACTTACTTCAAGAAGAATAATCACACAGAGTGCCCCTTAGCAATTATGGACTTGACCATGCTATGCAAGTGTACTTATGATACATATTCATCTGTGTTTGGCTTTCCTTTTTTTTTCTGTTTTTCTTTAGGCAACATGAAGACTTAAACTGTGCCTTCAAATGGCAAGCTGTTATTGTAGTATCTGTTAAAATAGCAAAGCATCTCATATTTCTTCTAAAGTGCAACCTGTGCTTGCTGAAAATAATTAATAGCATTTCCAAACTAATGAAGTCAGTCTGAAAAATTGGAGTCTTGCCACTAATCTAAGTGAGAGTACTCATCCTGTCACTTGCTTAATGTTTGTGAATATCATTCAAGGACTCCTTGAAAAGTCCCATGACTAGGACTAGCTTGCAATTACTTCCATCCTCATCGGAGTGTGTCACCATCTGTGGACTGGTTCCTTCTTGCTGCTTTTCTCTGTCTGACTTGATAAATTGATATTTTTTTCTCCCCTTTTTTTTCCTTTTTGATTCTGCATAAATGAAACAGCTTCAACAGCCAGTGTGGCCAGAGCTCCAAGCCAGTTAGATGTTTAAGATGTTTTACTTCTAAGTTGACAAAAGGAAAGGATGTTTTTATAATAATAATTTTTAAAAAAACACTATAGGGAAATTCCAAGGACTGTGTTCATTCTTTGTTTCCGAGCTGTCAACTCAGTTGTTTTACTTCTAAGCTAACCAAAGGAAAGGATGTTTTAATAATAATAATAATAATATTTTTTAAAAAAACACTATAGGGAAATTCAGGCTATGACTGTTTCACAAGCATGCTCAAACTTGAAAGAGATAACCAGTTGGACTAAGCTTCATCTGATTTTTTTTTTTCCATATAGGATGACTTTTTCTACTTCATTATTTGGCAATTACAAATTATACTTGGGATCTTTAGATCTGTTGATCTTTTGATATTGATATGGTACATGTTGAATGTGTAGAGAAATGCATATGGATGTAACTCAGTTTGCTGAATTATTCTGGAAGCAAATACTTCATTTGTAGGTAGTGCGCTTAACAGCTGTCCTTCTAAAAATCTGGCTATGCTAAAGAAAGGCATCAGTGAGTGAAAAGGAAAAGAAATTCAAAAACACAGCAGGATGTTACCACAGTTGAAATTGCTTTTAGTGCAAATTTCCTTCCACAACATGGTGCTTTTTGCTGTCTTTCTCTGTCTGATGTATTTAGGTCAAATGACACCCTCAATTACAAACGTAGCAGAACCTTATAAGTTTCTTAGCCTGACTTTTTTTCACATTTCTTTACCATATCATTCCCCAAAAGATACAAGATCACTGAAGTAAAGTATTCTGAGCAGAAAGCTATTAAGCTTGAGTATTTTTTAAAGTTAGGTTCTCCTGCCTTTTGTCATTCAGTCTTAAGGAACCAAAATCAGTGGTAATGACTTTCCAGTTATAAGAATAAGAAGGACATTGAGCTTCTAGAGAGGGAGTAGGGTAGAGCCACAAAGATGATTAAGGGACTGGAACATCTATCGTATGAGGAAAGACTGAGTGAGCTGGGACTATTTAGTCTGGAGAAGAGAAGACTGAGAGGAGATTTGATTGAAGTACCTGAGGGGTGATTGTAGGGAGGATGGGGCCAGGCTCTTCTCCGTGCTGGCCGGGGACAGGACAAGGGGGATCGGGTACAAATTGAAACACAGGAAGTTTAATTTCCATATGAGGAGGAACTTCTTTCCTGTGAGGGTGACAGAGCCCTGGAACAGGCTGCCCAGAGAGGCTGTGGAGTCTCCTTCTCTGGAGATCTTCCAAACCCGCCTGGGTGCCACCCTGTGCCACGTGCTCTAGGTGACCCTGCGTATGCAGGGGGGTTGGACTAGATGATCTCTAGAGGTCCCTTCCAACCTGTTTTGTGATTCTGTGAATCATCCCACCATTCCAGTCATGAATTAAAAGTCTAGACTTTCATTTCATTCCTTAGTATGTTTTCTGAAAGACACAGTCTCTCTTAATGGAATGTCTGTGAATTTGCAGCATTAACTAATGAGACAAATTCCCTGATTAATTCCCCAAGAAATGCTCTTGGTGAAGCATATCAATTCAATGGGGGCATTGTTAGATAGCTACTTATATATTAATATTAATATTTATTTTACATGCTCTCTATCCATCTTGTTAACATTTGTTGTAATAGTGGTAACTATTGCCAAATAGTTTGAAGAGTGATGGTGATGCGATAGCATGCATCTGAATGTCTGTTTGGATTGCACTTTAGATTTCTTGTCCGCATTCTGCATTTGCAAGAAAGAGAAGCTCTCAGTTTTCACTTTTTGAGAGCATAAAAACCTTAGCTAGTTGGGTCATAAGATCTGGTTATTGAAAGGATTGCTATTATTGTTCAGCCCAAATGACCCTCAGAAATTTGAAGAAGGTGTTCAGCCATTCAAGGTTTTGCATTTTCTGCTATTTTATTGCCCTTATCGTTACATGAAATGCTACATTATCAGCATACTCGTGTTGGTTTTGTACTGGTTCCAGCTGCAGTGTGCAGTGACTTGTTGAAACCTTGACATCTGTTTTCCCTTTTCCTCCTTTTTTTTTAGAAGTCAACCATGTCGCTCTCTTTCAGTGTTGCATGCTGAGCTTTAACTTAGCATGTGTACCTAGCCAAACGGCATCATACATCTCAGCTATATTCCAGACACTGTAAGATGGAGTGATGTCCTGAATGCTTTTTATTAATGATTATGCCTGAAAGAAGTGCAGTTTACAGCATTATCACCAGAGTCCGCCGTTATTCAATAAGTTAACTTTGGAACATTGCATCATGGACGTTACGGTGATGCCTGTGTTGTAGCACTGGGATTTTGGAATTAACATGTTTTTAAAGAAGAAAAAAATAAATTTCCCATCTCAAAATGTATGTCTGTCCCTATATGTTATTTCATAGTCCATCTGCTATTTGAATCATTGGTTGAAACCTGGTTCTGCTGCAGGAACAAGGCGTTATAGATATGGCTCAGATATTAATTGCTTTTGCAAATTCCATGTTTCTACCTGCTTCTGCAGTGCTGTCTTTCTTTCACGAGAACAAGAAAGCCAGAAGTGTTCTCACATTCAACAGAGGCATACTCTGAAGCAGATAGATTGATTTGAATCCAAAGATTAGATGAAATTAAAGGACATCCTCGTTTTGGAGGAGGCTTTGTAGAAACTGCCTTCCTCAATGCCAGCAGGTGAACTGCTGACAAGGTAGTTTAACTTTGGTGCTTTCATCGTGGAGTATAAACTTTCTTTGCATCAGTCAGTGATACATATCTCATGCAACTTCAGTTTTACAGAGGTTTGCAGTATTATCTGAAGCAAAAGTATAAATACAAGATTTCTATCTGGATTTGGATCCAAATGAAGAGTAAATTTTATTAGGAACTCTCCAAACCGCTGTCTCCCACATTTCTGAGGAATATCATGTGATTTCCCAGTATCTCAAAGAGTGATTGCAGCTTGCTGCCACAATTCCCCTTTGGAAAGGCAGAGAGCAGCA